CTCCCGCGCCGGCGCCTCGGGGAGTTGTAGCCCGCGGGTCGCCGGCGGTGGGCGCACTGCGCGTGCGCAGTAGCCCGCGGGGGCGGGGCGGCGGGATTTGGGGCAGAAACATGAAGGCCTGGCACAGTATCCCTGTTTTTATGACGGCAGGGCTTAGGGCTTTGGGCAAGATAAATGCAGGCGACAGCAGGAACTCATTTCATCGACAGCGGCCAAATAAGATAACCATTTTTCTTTGAAAATACACTGAACGACACACAGGGGTTGTGAAGCACTCACGGGTTCAAGTTCTGGCTGAATATCCACATTTTTTTTAGATCAACTAGATGATTTTCAGTCTCTTCCTCCTCACATACATCTTCCCATACCCAGAGGTGCTTAGTATTCATCTCACAATTTACGCAATATACTAAGTGTGCTGGAAAAAAAAACCCTGCACGCTAACAAGGCAGCTTTTTTTCTTAACTGATTCTTTAAAGAAACAGATTTTCTGTATTCAAAAAAAAAAAAAAAATCTAGGCTTATTTACAAAACTACAAGGTTCTTCAAATCCATTTTCTCAATAAACAGAGAAAAGAAGAGGATGGATCATTTTCTGGGCAAAGTCCAGAAGAAAGACTGCTGTTATCCTTGGTGAGACTCGCTGCTTTTTCCACTTCTCATAAAGCAGTTGAATATATTGTACAAGGGGCTGAAGGGAAATGGGAAAAATACTTCCAGATGACCGAGAAGAATAAAGATTGACATGGGGTGCACAACTCCCAGCATGGCCCAGTCCTTCAGAGGCCAACAGCCTCCAAACTGGGAGTAACAGAGAAAAACATAAAATTCTGTTGCAAAAAGGGTACCTTGCAGAACGGATAAAACAGAAAAAATTCCCCCTCGCAGGTCATTTGGGATTTTTAGCTTTTTGCTCTGCTAGGAAAACATGCACCATCCCCAGCAGCACCTTCCCAAGCCCTCCACTAGCCCAAACATATTTAAGCAAAACTGAAACAACCTTGTACAGTCTAGAAGGAAATCAGTAAAAGCCTAGTTCTCAAACAAAGCCTTTGCATCGATTAAGTGCTTTCTAGCATCAAGTTTTTTCCCTTTAGTATTCCTGGCTAAATCACTGCTTATCTTGGAAATTTGGTACATTGGTGATTCTGCTGTTGGGAATAGAATACACATGCTCACAAATTTCCTCAAAAGAATCTGGTACAGCTCATCAGAACAGAGACAAAACCAAATAATAAAAGAAAAAAGTGGCAAGAGTATGTAGAAATATAATTTCTAGATATTGGTAAGGAAACATCTGCACTCCACATGCTTTTACAGTCATAAAGTGTCAGGCATCCATGTCAGGAAACCCCTGCAATACGCAAGAAGACATTGCAACAACACAATAACGATTGGCAAACTCACTCAATGTTTTATAAGACCGGTTTGATCTTTACCTATAACTTTCATCAAAATGAACCATTCACATTGGAGCTATTTGTTTCCCGTATGTAAAATGTGGACGACACCTCCTCAATCTGGTAAGGAAGTGTTGCAGATAAATGTATTAGCCTGTCTGAAGAGGATCTTGTAAGCCTCATGGTAACGAGAGGAGGAAATTACCTTTTTCTGAGACTGAAATGGTACACCAGGACCAAGGCTGGAACAAACAATAAGAATGACGTGAGAAGTGGGGTATGGCGAACACTGAAGGCAGGGTTCTGGTTAAGAAAAAAAAAAATCACGCTGTTTTTTTTTTGAAGACTATGTTGTCATGCATACGTAAAACAGGTACCAAGCGAGTCCCATCTTGTGAGTACTTGACTTTAGAAACAAAACTTTCTTTATGGGGAGGCGTATCTATCCATAACGCAGAGGTCTGGAGTTGATTGTGGAGTACTTCACACAACCTTGTACGTAATTACTGACCGGACTTCTGAGATCTCGACGGAGAAGCAGCGAGAGCGGCACTGCGGGCCAGAGATGGCGGCGCTGCCCACCGCAACGCGTGCTGACTGCCGTCAGCTCTGCTTAATTGAGATTAACCGCAAGGGCGGCCGGAGCAGCCGCGTCGCAGGGTCACAGGTGCGGCGGCCCGTCACGGGAGTCACCCCGCAGCCGCCTCCGGGGCCGGCCGGGGGCCGACTGGCGGCGGCACCGCCAGCGCCGCGCTGCTCACGGCTCACGTTCTGCAAAAGCTGAAAAACGGAACAACGCGGGTGAGACGCTGGGCACC